CGGGCCTCTCACTGTTGTGGCCTCTCCCGTTGTGGAGCACAGGCTCCGGATGCACAGGCCCAGCGGCCATGGCTCACGGGCCCAGCCGCTCCACGGCATGTGGGATCTTCCCAGACCAGGGCACAAACCCGCGTCCCCTGCATCGGCAGGCGGACTCTCACCCACTGCACCACCAGGGAAGCCCCCTCACCTGGGAGTTTTAAAAATACGAATTCCCAGACCCAATCCCAGATCAGTTATATTACAATCTCTGGGAAGTGGGACCTTGGCATTGAAATTTTTTTTTTATAACCTCTGCAGATGATTCTAAAGTGCAGCCAAGGTTAAGAACCACTGCTCTATCCAGGTTTCTTTCACCTGGTAGCAGCACCTCTCTCCCAGCCATATAAAATCCACATATACCAGCTTTTTTCCTTTCTTTTGCTCTGAGTCAAAACCATCTCCGCCTTCTATGCCCTAGATGAAAAATGGTGAAGAGGACTGGGCCTTAGATAAGACTCTAGAAGTAGCTGGCATTCACGGGAGTGTCATCTACCTGTTGGGGAGTATCACCTTGTTGGAAAAGGAAGCTCTTAGAAGAGATTCCAGTAGCCACATCTTCCTTTGCTTTGCAATAGGTTCTTCTTCCTATCAAATGATGAGCTGTTGGAGATCTTGTCAGAGACAAAGGACCCCCTCCGAGTTCAACCACACTTGAAGAAGTGCTTTGAAGGAATTGCCAAGCTGGAGTTTACAGACAGCCTGGAGATTGTGGGCATGATCAGCTCAGAAAAAGAAATCGTTCCATTCAAACAGAAGATCTCCCCAGCTCAAGCCAAAGTAACTCCACTTAACCCATTTTTGGTTCTTATCATCATAACAGAGCGAAACAGAGAGAGGCAGATTGTATGTTGGTTAAACATTTGGACTCTGGTTCCAGATTGCCTGGGTGTGGAACACTTAGATTACACAACTTAATGACGGGGTGACTTTGGGGAGCTAATCTTTCTGAGTCTGCTTGCTCATCTCTAAGATGGAGATTATACTGCAATTCACATGGCATCCTAAATTTGTGGAAGGATTTCAACCAAACTTGGTGTGGGGGGGGGAGCAGGAATCAGATCCAAACAACTAATGCTGTTTAAATCCCCATGAGCAGAGCCCACTTTAAAGAGATCTGGTCAGATGGGGCAGGTGTTTTTAAAGGTGTTTTAAAGGGCAGGTGTTTCAATAATATTTCATGGAATTAATGCCATTTAACTCAGATTTTTCATACATGTGCCCTTATCAAATGAGTAAAATATAAGTTACTTCCACTCTTGCTGAACATGACAGCACCCCAGCGTAGAAATAGACAAGTACTCTTGCCGTTTTTGCGACCCACACATTTAAGTTGCAACAACCAGGGATCATACCTTAAAACCAGACACCAGCTAGCTCACAAGCACCTGAGGTCAGCAGGTACAGTTGCCTGAAATTCTAACACTGAATAATATGCTGCACATTCAAATTACCTGTAGAGCTTTAAAAAAATCCAAATGCCCTGCTTGCATCCCGTACCAATTAAATCAGAATGTCTGGGAGTGGGAGTCAGGCATCCATAATTTTTAAAGATCTCCAGATGATTCCAGTGCACAGCAAAGTTTGGGGACCACTGGAATAATGCAAGAATTAGAACTGTTCAATTAGAAATGAGCAATTTATTTTATGAACTTGTAGACTAAAAAAAAATGCACAACCTAAACGTCAAGAGGTATGTTTTGTTCAGCGGACATTCTTAGGACTTCAAGCTGGAGAGGCAGCATCTCAAGTAACCCTGAGAAAACGGCTTGGAGGAGGCAAGGAGGGGAGATATATAGGAGTTTTGCAACAAAGGGCAGGTAGTCTGAACTTCAAAAGATTATTGTTAATTAAAGAAAACCAGATATCTCAAGTTAAGGAATTTAGTGCTTTTCTATGGATGGGAAAATGCAAGAGTCTAGGCTCACTGAAATCATTCCTTTGATATGCACGTCAGCTATCTGGGGCCAGTATCCTGTGTTTTCTCATCCTGAGTTCCCTCAGGGCTCACCAGCTCACTTTGGGAGGTGGTGGCTGCAGTCACTGATGGCTGCAGCATCTTTTGATTACTGATATGGCAGAGGCAATATTTTATTTCTCAAACTGAAGTGTAAATGTGTCATTCGTCTCCTGAGAGAGACATAAATAACTTTATTTACAGTTGTCTTCCAGAAAATGATATGAAAGAAGTGCATGTTAAAAACTCCCTATTGCCCCTTTTTTGAGACATACACTTCTTAGAATACAGTAAATAAGTATAAAACCAATAGTTAAAGAATACTGGCTTGAAGGTGTGCAAACCTTTGGCCTCCCTCCAGCCCTGTACAGAGAGAAAGCTGGCTTCTGCCCATGGTCCCTCCCTCCAGGCTTGGCTAACTGTCACTGCCTCTCTGTCTGTCTCAACCCACAGGGCATGGTGGAAAGATGGCTCCAGCAGGTGGAACAGATGATGCTTGCCAGTATGCAGGAAGTTATTAGACTTGGGATTGAAGCATATGTCCAGGTAAATGAAAATTGGGGTACACATGCCAGGGTGTTGGTACACCAACAGGAACTTTGGGGACAAGGTTAAATGGAAGCCTGTCTTCTGCTAAAACCCACCCGTCTCCTGCTGACCCCTCTGTGCCTCTTTCTCCTTTCCCTGTAAATCCTGGGGCAGTGTATGTATTTCTGAATATAAAAGGTTTGCAGTTAGAAGCAGCTGACACTAGCATAGCCTGTGAGCCAGAACCCTTTGTTTGCTGTGGGGCAGTCCTTTCTGTGAAAATAATTGATGGCAAGCGGTTTATTTAGAGCCCCTCCCCAATTAAGCATCCCCTCCCCCAGGCTTCTATTAACATTACACATGCCCTGAAGGGCACAACTCATTAAGCTCCCAAAGCTTTAGTGACCTGTGTAACAGAAGGCCTAAGGGAAAAGAACCTGTTGCGGTTACTCTTTAGCCACAGCTCCCAGCAAGGTTAATGGTGGCAGACTAGATATTTAGTCTCCTCTACTTCAGGTGCTTCTCACTTTGGGACCCCCACCCCTATCCGCAGGACTTTTTCCATCAAAAAAAAAGGGGTATTCAATTAACACCTTCCCACTAGGTACCAAGGACTGACCCTGCTGCCCCTCTCAGTAGTATTTGCCTTGTAAATGAAAGACCAGTCCTTCGTCCCATGACATATTACAAATCAAAAACTAAGTTAAAGAAAAACGGCAACCTGTATGAAGTTGTTTCATGCAGTTGCATCTGTAGCCAGACACAGCAAACTTTTTCTGTAAAGGACCAGATAGTAAATGTTTTCAGCTGTGCGGGCAATCTACACCAGGCACAACTATTTATCCTTGCCTTTTCTTTTTTTTTTTTTTTTTTTTT